GTGGTCCGGTAGTCTGGATGGGCTGCAGGCCTTGCCACATCCATCCGGAGTCAGCAGTAGAATAGAAGCTGTTCAGCTTCTCTCTATACTGCCTCTTGGCCGCTTTGATGGCTTTCCTCAGTCTGTACTTTGTAGCTTTGTACTCCATCTCATTGACTGAACTGAATGCATGAGAGCAAGCATGTGGTGTACCTGACTGTTTATACAGGGCTTCTGGTTGGGGAACCTCCTGACTTGTATGGTGGGCATGATGTTGTCAACACAAGTGCTGATGTACCCAGTCACATACTCAGCATTATCCTGTACGCTGACGGAAAAGTCCTCCAAGGTGGCTGCAACTTTAAACACATCCCAGTCTGTCTGGGCAAAACAGTCCTGCAGGGTGCTCTCAGTCTCCATGTTCCAAAGTTTCACTTGTTTAGTGACAGGGTTTGTTTGTTTCAGTCTTTGTTTGTAAGCTGGATACAGGAACAAAGAAATGTGGTCCAAGCATCCGAAGCGGCGGGGGGCAGCCCTGTATGCACCACATATGTTACTGTAAACATGATCCAGTGTGTTCTTGTCCCGAGTGGGAATGTCCACATGTTGGTAATATTTGGGGAATACAATCCGTAGATTGCACTGATTAAATTCACCTACGCCGATAAATACAGCATCGGGGTGAGCCGTCTCTAACATAATGATGACATCATGGAGTTTGCCGAGAGCCGCCGTGGAATTAGCTCTTGGAGCTATGTATATTCCAGCCAAAAACACACAGCTAAATTCTCTTGGTAGATAATATGGACAGTATTTCAGCAATAAAAACTCCACATCTGGCGAACAGTGCTTATAGACAGTCTGTGCATCTCCACACCACGAGTTGTTGATAAACACACTCACACACCTCCCCCTTTGGCCTTACCGGCAGCTGCAGTCCGGTTTCCTCGGTCTCCTCTGTGTCTGTAGCTGAACGGCGGATTCTGGGACACTGTCTGACAGCCAGGTCTTGGTGAAAACGAGAGCGCAGCACTCTCTTATTTCCCATTGTGTTGTTATCCTGGCTCTTAGCTCGTCCAGTTTGTTTTCCAGAAACCACATGTTAGCTAGCAAGAGGCTGGGTAGCGGTGGTCGGTTAGCGCAAGCTTTTAGCTCTTGCATCTCCGTATCACTGTCCTGATTTCAGCCTGCTCGCTCAAGGTTGGTGCTTTGGGGCCTTTCTGGGGGTGATGGTGGTTGCCGCAAAAGCGGACAACCAGTCGTAGCTCCAGTGGAATAAAACTGGCGAATTCCAGAGGGCTGTGATTAGCGATGTCTAGCAATGCCTGTCTGTTGTATGTTAGCAGTACATGACAATTTTGCACTGCACAAAAAGCGAAAAACACACAAAAAAGAAAAAAAGCTGGCATTCAGCAGCGGAACGAGCAAACACGTCAGCCTCGACAGGTGCCATGTTGAATGATATCAAGGAATATACTGTAGAATGGTTGACATGTCAAGCAAGATACCAAAATAATGCATGCCATGTAGATTGGTGGCTCTAGTGCTCCATGCTAACTCTAATATCTCAAAAGTGAGTACTCTACAGGCATGCAGCAAAAATTGAGTTTTCTGGAGGGCGATAAAATCCAAGTATTTGCTGTGCAATATGAGCAACATGAGTGTCAAAAGAATTTTAAAAAGAGCAACGAAGTCACTGGAACATTTTAAGCAGTATTCTTTACTTACAGCAAGGAGACAGGTCAGTATGAACATACAGGGTTGTCTGAGTAAAATAGATTCAAACAGCACAATCAGTTTCTCACAGGTTTTTGTTCTGAAAGTTTAAAACCCATTGAATAGCATATATTGATTAAAACACAGCAAAAATAATGTTTAATAATGTAATTCTTATAACATTTCCCTCCTATTTAAACTTTTAGAAACACATTATTTACAGCATAATTCTTAATCTTGTTCATCTCAGGATCTCATTGTTCAAACACTCCCTTTCAGGTTTTCATTAAAACAAGTCATACATGGTTCAATCAGATTGGAATCAGGAAAGTCTTTTTTCAAACCCAATTGTCCGGTTAGTGGTGATCTTCTTTTTCTTCTTCTTCCTCGTCACCAACCTGTTGGTAAATTGTCTTAGTCAGAGCAGTGTCTATCAGTCTCTGCATCAGTCCCTGCAGACAGGGGATGCAACAACAGCCACACGCAACCAGCAGAGACAGAGAGATCAACCCAGAAGCGATCAGGCTGCTCCATTTCCCGAACCAGGATTCCAGGAAGCTGGTGAAGGGGTTGTCGATGCCAGAATTCTCAGCCAGTTCCTCAGATAGGGCTGTCAGTCCTTTAAGGGCCTTGGTGATGTTGCCATCTGGGGAAGTGTTGTTAGGTATAAAAGTACAACAAAATGTGCCAAAATATCATACATACTCCCCCCCCTCTCAGCTAACAACATATCTAGGGCCATCCTATTTTGCCATGACATGAAAGAAGTTGGGCTTAGTTGGTCTGCTATGCCTCTTATTGCATCTCTGGCATAATTCACAAAACGCTGTTGGTTATAGTCTAAGTCAGGGGTGGCCAATTCCAGTCCTTGAGGGCCGCTGTCCTGCTTGTTTTCCAGCTATCCCTGCCTGACTTGCTGCTCAGGTGTGTTCAGTCAGTCAGAAGCTGGAAGATGCCATCTTAGATGAAAATGGAGGGAGGAAAGATAAAGTGAATTGGTATAAATGTTACAAAAAATATGAGGACAAGCACACATGTCCTTGAAAAGCTGAACATTTGGACACCTGAATGGTCTGTCTAGGTGAAAATATGCTGGACTTATTAAGACTGAAAAACAGTGGAAGAAACCAGAATAATAATAATAAAAATAAAGAATAGGATAACATAGTGTAGGTCCTTTGCATCCACACAATAATAAAGAATAGGATAGCATAGTATGGATACTTTTCAGCATCCATACAAAAATAATAATAAAGAACAGGATAACATAGTGTGGGTGCTTCGCATCCACACAACTAGAGAAGTGCATTTCCTGTCAAAAATGCGTGTGGATGCAATGTGCTTAAGGATTGCCCTGAAAATGGTGAACATTTTGACACCTGAAAATATGCTGAAGTACAATTTTCCCATTAATTTGAATGGGGGAAATTTTCAAAATAAAGCTAAATATTTCAGAAGTGTGAAGTGTATAAAAATTCGAAGAATGAATCCCCTGGGAGACTTGAACATTTTGATACCTGAAATAACTGAAAGTATACCTGAAACATTTTGATACCTAACATAGCTTAATTTCCCCATTCATTTGAAAGGGGCAAACTTTTCAGAATAAAGCTAAATATTTTAAAAGTGTGATGTTTTGAAAAATTGTTAATAGAAGCATGAATGTCCTTGAAGAGCTGAACATTTTGATACCTGAAATAACTGAAAGTATACCTGAAACATTTTGATACCTAACATAGCTTAATTTCCCCATTCATTTGAAAGGGGCAAACTTTTCAGAA